GCAAAGAGAAGAACACATACTTAAATTTGGTTCAAAACTATTTTAGAACAACTTCATAGGCCTCTTCCTTTGGTTTCTGGAATGCATTTATTTCAAGATAGAGATTGCTTCATCGACATCTCTTCCTTTGGTTTCTTGCCCATATTCTCCGACTTTATCATCTCTTCCTCAGTGCAAATCTTGAGAAGGTTCGGTAAAATTGTTGTTGGATCAAGCTCCAAGCAACCTTGAGGAGCATCCTTATCTTCTTGAACTGTAAGCAAATAAGAATTTACATGATATGAGAGAATAAGTCTTTAATTTTCTCATAAATGTCTTTGGATTCTTAAGGCCATGGAATGAATTTTGAAATCTCGAGACTTTAACTAGTACGCAACCGGGACTTGTCTTACTTCATTGACATCATGAAGCACTTCAACCATTTCATTATTGTTCACAACTTCTTTCGGAGTTGATACGCTCCAAGATGGTGACCAGTTTGTATACATATCTTCGGATAAATGTACACATACCCTTTTGGACCCTTTGTCCACTAGATCCTATGGGAGAAAGAGTTGAGAGACTCGTTGATATTGCGTCTCCCAATTGAGAAACGTCCTCTTGTCTTGCAGAACTCAGAATAAATCCACTTCATTGGACCCAGTTCTTCATTGTTCCAACTATCCAGACAAGAAATACATAGCATGAACGGTTCTTGAGAGAAAACACTATGGACTAGTCCATGATCCCATAAGCAGTCCATACTTGGTTTTTTTCAAATGAAGATTTGGTTCGATCCTTGTCAAAATCAAAGAAATCATGATCTAGAACACTCATAATCAGAGCATTAGGTTCTTCCTTTGTAAATATATCACTCATAATCAGAGCATTAGGTTCTTCCTTTGTAAACATATCGTCAGCATTTGATGTTTCGCACTTTATTCTTTTCACACCTTTGCGTTTCTTCGCGTCTTGAGGGGTTCTTGTTGTTGCAAACGAACCAACATAATTTTGTCCAGATGTAGAAACATACATTTCAAGACTCATGTTGATCATACTCTTAGCCTTTATAACCAATGTATTTTGAAGCATATTTCGATTAATCACAAGTTTGTCATGCCTGATTCATAAGCCTTCGATGTTTGTTCTTAACTTGTTAACATGAAGCAGATGTCCTTGATGTCCTTCTCCTTTGCTCTCTCGTCCGCTAGCTCTTCTTAATTGGTTTACAAGACCAGTAACTCTCAATGGAGGTTGGAAAAAATCACTCCCTTTAACATCAAAAATTAGTTGAGGTTTAAGGGCTAACAAAACAAACAAAATATAAGTCGAGGTCAAAAGCTGACTATTTCATAGATTAACACGACTCATTGATAGAGTCGAATACTCAGAGCATCCTTAATGGTAACACTCTTAAGAGTGTCTTAAAAATAAAAAGGATTAAAAAATTATTTAATTACTTGACTCTTCCATCAAAAGTGTCTATAGGATGAATTTAATGAACCATTTATTTAGAGTGTTAAGTGTTTTTAATATTAAAAAACTACTTAAGACACTTTATGAATGTTAGTGATAAAGATGCTCTCAATAGCTTAAAGGGCTTCTACAATGAGCCCAACAAACTCTTGTAGAAAGATGTTGAAATAAATAAGATTTGATTATTTGACAAAAGAAAAAAGAAATTTGATTTTTTGTATAAAGCATACAGTGGAGTTACTGAGTATTGTGCTCATTGTAGAAAGCCTTTTAAATCTACTGAGTATTGTTAATCCATGGAGTTACAAAAAGCAGTAGCTCGGGAAAGGGAGTCATCTTTTGACCTCGACTTACATTTCGTTTGCTCTGTCAGATACTAAACTTCCACTACAAAAAATTGAGTTATTGTGAAGACTGAATGAGAAAGAGGTGAATGAGAAAGGTTTTGGTTACTATATCCACGTGATGCTTCCTATGAACTTGCATTGGTTCATATTGGCTAACGAGTTCGCTTTATTGTATGCAATGATCTTATAAATAAATTACTTGTTCGAATGGGCAGAAGCTTTAGTAATGGATTCCATCACAATGGTCCGATCAAAACCGCAAGCAAAACAAAAAATTGTTGTTGTTGATATCAGTGCTCGAGTTTCTGGTTCAAAGTAGGAAACCTAAAATTGACTGAAGCACCAATTGTTTGATGCACAATTTCTTTAATACCATATTTGTACTCAAACCCCAGTTCTTTCAACTTCTTTGAAGAAATTATAGGCTTCATCAAACACTGTCTCTCTTCCACATCATCATCTACCCTATAAATTAAAGACAATAATTTGGTAAGATTTTCGTTAATAATAAAAAAAGTTAACAAAAGCACCGAAGATTGTATAAAATTTCAAGAACTTACTTTTGAACTTTACAAAGATAGTCCTTAGAGAAGTGATGAAGCATCAACTCATGCATATCAATGTTGTCAACACAACATATGTATTGACCTTCAGCTTTTTGTTGCTCCATCAAAAACAAATGCGCGTTGCAAATATCTTCAATGTGTACCAAACCAATCGAACCCATTCTTTTGTTTACTGCCGATAGTATAGCAAACAACTTGGAGTCACCTGGTTTGTTATAATGTAAAAACCAAAATGGTTAATCATGCCCAAAATTATAACTTATACATGTTAATGGAAAGCAAATTGCACACACCAGTGATCGGCGACAAGAGAACTTGAAGGCTTGATGGGAGAGAAGGAGTAAGGAATGGACCCGAGACAGTAGTTGTAATGGCTGAAACAAGATCCATTCCTCTCTCTTTTGCATATCTAAATGCTTCTTCCTCTGACGCAAGCTTGGATAGTACATAAATCTGTGGCCCACGCCAAGTCTAAACCAGTTTACGACAATGATTTGTAAGGAACCAAATGAACTATACTAATGTAATAAGGGGTACTTACCCATCCACTTGCTTTTGTTTTCATGACATGATCAATGGGAGTCTTGCAAGTCTCATCCACGACAGATCTCATCCGTCCATTCTCATCTTTTGATGTGAGAGTACTGATGGATGATGTGAAAACAACTCTTTTGACTGATTTTGATTTTAGACAAGAACCAAGTACATTCCGTACACTTTTTATCGCCGGATCTATGACTTTGCTCTGGACGTAACTCTCTGCAATTCAATGCAACAAAACCAGGTTTGTTTTCGATTAAATCCAAGACCAAACCGATGAACTAGTTTACAAGTACTTGTACTTATTTGACATGAGACTTTTCCCATCGTTTTACATTTTACATTGACGTACCAGTAACACTAAATCATGATGGTCAATGACATCACATTCTAAGATTAGTACTAAACCGAAGATATCAACTGAGAGACAAACAGTTTTATCCGGTTAAGGAAATGTGAGAAGAAAAAAAAAACCCGGTGCAATGGAAAGGTTGTACCGAGATTGACGTGATCTGATGAGAGATCAAACTCCATGGAAGCCGCGACATGGAAAACGCCGTCACAGCCTTTAACGGCGTCATCGAAGCTGCCGTCATCTTGAAGATCCGCTTGGAATAATCTAAGCCGTTCATTTTCCTTCCATTTCGATTGAAAATATTGAGATTTTGCTGCTCAGAGGAAGAAGCTTTTAGGTAACTTTTAACGATGAAACTAATTTACAAAACAGTCCAACATTTAGTCAGATTAACTAATTAATCCATATGTATTTTAAAAAGCTCTACAAAGTACCTGAGATTCGATATAAACAACAGACACTTGAAATTTTGAAATTCGATTGATTTTCACAAAATAAGTTTGAATTGTTTCTGTTTAACACAAATAATTTCAGTCTCATGCAACAACTTATCATTGACAATCATATTAGTTTC